CCGGAAGCCCCTCCGTCCATGCGGGTCAACACTCTACGATGCTCAATTCTTCGCGGTCCATCGTCCCAATAGAGACTCTGAGACCGGGGGACCTGCCAGAAGCAGTCGTCAGTGAGCCCACAACGCCAGCCGCAGTAGAAAAAGTTGCGCTCTAAAAATTATGCTTCCAATTTCCCCCCAGAAGTCTGTTAGCAGACTGCCTTAGCGTGAAGCCTTCTAGGGCAGACGAGGACCACTTTTGCCTCGGTCACCATTGGAGCAGAATCGGTGTGGCTGGCACCGACTGCCGCTTCTGCGTTGACCAACTATTAACTCACCCACTATATGGTGATCGACTGCGGCGGTGTAGATGACGAAGCCCTCACTGGGACTGGAGGACTTGTTCTCGAACATCGGATGATCGGCACCGTACACATCATAACCCCCTCAACAACAAGCTATCCATTCGTCGAGTGTTTTCACTGCATCGTTGTGCGTCGTCATCACAATAGGGATTGCTGTAGCGTTCTGAGAAACTGGTGGTTCGTCGGAAGTTCAGCTGAAAGCTGGTACCCGCTGCGCTTGGACGGAGGTTACGAATTCTGGCAGGAGTGTTTACTGGTCGGGAGTTTCAGTCTTAGAGGTAAGGCAGACTTTACGATGTTTCTACCGTTTGGTTTCGAAATAATGAGAAAGCCTAAGCTGGTTTCCCGCAGAGGTCATGCAACAAAATGTCTGTCATACTACTGCATCACTGGCTTGGTGGTTACAAAGGTGCTGGCAAACATGACAAGGAACCGAATGTTGTGATCTCATACCACAATGTTGTGATGCCACAGTGACAACAACAAAACGTAAGCAAGGCTTCCCATCGCCTTGAATAATTTGACTCTGTCAAGATTACTAGGAAAGCCATGCTGCACGCGTAGAATATGACACGCTAAAAAGAGCCAAGTTTTCAGGCTAAATGGAGTAAATTGAACTTAAGCGCGCAGGCATGTCCCTGGGGTATGTGGGAGAGATTCGTCACCTTGGGTAGCCCGCAGTGAAGATCGGCGACTCATCTAAACACTGAAGGTACCCAAATACCCAAAAGAAAGTGTGGAGGAGGGCCCGCGGGACCCGGATAACCGGATGCAGCACTCAGGAGAATAGCATGATGAGTTGCGTACTTCCTTGAGGGTTGTGAGAACGCAGCGAATCCGCCTCGAGATGTTGGCCAGGGCGTACGGACATTGACTAAACTTGCTCGAAATAGCGCCCAGCCAGGCGGACTGGGAGTGGCATACGGCATTTCCCGCTTTCTAAGGCCGTCAATATTTGCACCCACATGCCTTGACGGATACTGAGCGCCGTCAGGGTGGTAAGATGACACCAGTTGAGGTTACAATGCAATGAGAGTTTCCGTTGCAAAAGTAAAAATTAGTAGACTGGACGAATCAATTGAACTTAACGCGTGGCTCTGAAGTCGTGGAAGATGATCGGTTCTATTCTACCATTGATGACGCACGTAGCAGAGAAAAGCAAGTGACTGTACAGGTCAAGAACGTCTTCATCTGGGTCAAGCAGCTGTCGAAAGTGTAATACGAATTGGCTCGTCAAAGTTCCCTCTAATTTCCAAAACTCGAACTGCGTATTTTCAAGCCAAAAAACCGAGAGTCCAAAGATTCCGAGAACAACTCAGGCTTGAAGATGTAAATGACTATCGGAGCCGCGGGAACAATGCATCACAGCAACGACATAGTTGTTAGCACGCATTCAACACTGTCATAGACGGGAGATCTTGAACCCGCGAAGAAAATAAGGCGCAAGGGCAGGCAGAACTTGTCTGAGCTCTGCCCATCCATGAGCGGCCGTAGCTGACCACTTTATATCAGTTAAGAACCCACGTGAGTTGACACGTGTGAGTTGCCGGAAACCTCAGTGTCGGAATTCGGGATGAGGGAGAGATTCAGAGTTTCAACGGAAAAGCCCTCTGTGCGCGACATATTCACTTTCTGATAGCTCAATGCGTGCCACTCTGAAACGTCACTACTCCGATATTCAATGGTAGAGGTGCTTCAGCCTTGGAACCAGAGCCGCTCTCGACGGCAGCTCGGAAATCACGTTGTATGAGCGGGATTTCCATGTTCTTATCAGGCTAGTGATTCAATCTAGAGTAGACCCAGATAGAGTTTCTCTCCTCTTGTAAAAGTAACTACTTAGTCTTAACCGTTTCGACTTCTGTGAATCTGATCTGTGATGGTTGGAGCTCGTTAGCTTGTGAGTCGAATCCCCGCACAGAATTATCAAAACACAAACTGCACGTGCACGTCGGTTGGTATGTCTTCGCATTGGAAGAATTCAGTACGCTTCTCTTCAAGTATTCTTCATGCATTCGGCGAAGATGTTGAACAGCAGTGTTCTTCTACGTACTCGACGGCCTAATCGTCAAGCGTCAAAGTTATCGTTGCTTGAACACAGGCTCGCAATCAAGTGCACACAACTTTAAATGTGCAAATCCTGGCCAGGCTCAGTACATTCTGCTTAACTTTTTAAACGTTAGAAAACATGCTTCAGTTATATAGCAATTTGATTTCTGTTGTCAATCACAGTTAGTATGTCTTTAGAGCCATTTCGTATCCCACGTTTGAAATAGCATAATATCTCCAGATAATATCCCAGCTTCCGAGCGAGGTCAACTTCATCAACAGCAAAAAGTCTCATATCCGTCGTGACAATAAATCGTATTTGCAGACACATCTAATAACACTCTCTCCATGCGAAGAATTATTCGCTACCTGTCATTTGGCTTTGACTTCGCCGTATTCACATCCGCGTAGACTTGGGATGGACTTGTACAAGCAATACAGAATGACTTTTGATCTTCCACCAGTCTATATTGGCCGATCGCAATCAGTATAACAATTCAGTAAAGTTTACATGGCGCCAGCGAACTCCTGTTCGTCGGTGTCAACTCCTTAAATCCGGGGAGGTTAGCATGCAGAGCTTATATACAAACATAGACATCAAAGTCCGAAACGTTCGCGGTGGAATCTCTGAAGGCATGTCTTCATTTTGACTGAGTCCCCACGAGTATATTAAAGCCGCCAGGATCCGTGGACAGGAAACGTTGCGCAATATAATCCTTCTTCACATTGGGCTTGTATCAAGACAGCTATCTCGTATAGATGGACAGTGGAAAACACACGCACATCCCAACAAGTCTAATAATCTTCCACGTCCGGGAATCAAAATACGTTGCCGCCGTCACGTTTTCATTTTATTGTTCTTGAATAAGAGAGAGCATTAAATCTTTCAAGGGACGGCACGGCAGCGCACACTAGATACTGAGCAGTACCTGGAAATCGTAGTCTCAAGATCAATATTTTCACAAGTCTTCTTGACCCCAGATTGTGTTCGATAGTGTAGGCCAGCTGGCTATTTACAGTATATAAATAACGCAGCAAAAGCGATAGACGCCAAGTCCAACGCTCTATCTAGTCTCTTCCATATCCCCTGGCGCCTAGCTAGATTGATATACCTTAGGCTACCTCCTAAAGTTTATAAAACCTGAAAGGCAAATGATCTTGGACCCGCTTGACGCCAGTCGAAATTGATGGATGTCGTTGGCTGGATTGGTCTTTTGCCTGTTTTGGCCTTTCCTCGATCTATTGAGCAAAAGCTCCCCAATGCCATATCTTTCTTAGCACGACTATCCTTCGACAGCTTCTACCACGTTTCTAGGACATTATCACGAGGGAATACCCAGGGAGAAGTAGAGAATAGTATCTTCACAGAATTGGAAGTCTCTGCTACGACGAGTCTGAAGTCTTTCACCAGTGTGGGTACGGCACCATCGCATGGCAACAGCTTGGGCAAAACAGCTTAGAACATGGGCGGGGTTATTGCTGAACAAATAGACTGAACGATAAAAGGTCCTCTTTAAGTAGATTTACCGTGTCGAGTCCTTCGGGGTTTGCTCACAGCCACTTGGGAAAGGCTCACGTGGGTGGCCACCCTGGTCCCCTACCTGCCGAAAGAATGTCCCGAATAGCACGGAACCCGCAATTCCACGCATCAAAAAAGTATTTAAACCCGAACTTGCAACTCGGATTCCAATTGCAAGAGCTGGACAGCCAAATTGTCGGTGAAAGCCAATTTCTTAAACCCCCTACGCCTGAAGTCACCGCGTTCCAGCGCGTCGCGAACCAAGAGCGGGGCACGCCCGGGGACCCAAGAGCACCCTGGCACCATCCACCCCATCGTCCCTACGCGTCTGCCTGCGATCATTCGACGCGAATGGAACCAGGATAACTTTGTAGGCGAACGTGGAGATTCGAAAGGTTCATCAAAAGAGCAATTTCGCCCGGTGACTGCGGGCGTAAAGGGCTGCTGAAGGTCAGGATCTAGGGAAGGCCGTCACATTGGGATGTCATTGTGCTCCCGAGTGGTTGAGAAAGACACTGACTGATGTAAGCCCAGCGTTTCCAAGTGGATTGGCGATAATGTGGCATTAGGCTTGGGCCAATGACGCCGAAAGCCGACCGGGAGAGACGGCAGAGCTCTACGGCCGGCGGAGCTCTACAGCCGGCTGTCCTCATCTCGCAGTCCGTCGAATTGACGTTCACAATTGTATTGAAAAGTAAAGGGCAAGACACTTGAAAGAAAAACATGTGGCATTCGTAATCGTCTAACCCAAGCCGATATTTCATATCCTAGTCATAATCATACGAAGTGGTATATCCTCCAAAACCATATGCCCGCTGCTAATGTCCCACTGTCTACATGGGTTGAGTGTATCAAAGAAACGAAAAGCATTCGAGCACGTGTTCTGTCCAGTTGTCAAGCGACAACATGCCTACAATACTGACCTCCGCTGTAAATGCCGATGTAAATGCCATGATAAACAAGACCGCACATGCCATCGTGAAATTCCTAGAGTCATTTTCAAAAGAGCCCGCCCCCGGCGCAGCTGGCGAAAGGAAATGCATCAAAATCAAGAGTTATAAACGTAAATGGTTCGCACCTCTATGCAAAGCCTAAGCCATTGCATTGAACTCGTTCTGGCGGAGGAAGGATGTGGCGAGCTCATCGCCGCCTTGCTCTGCCGCCTGGAAGAAGTGGACCGCCACGCACATGAGTGCGGGGTCGCTGCGGACATCTCCATCCTTGAGCCCCGAGTCTTGGCCGGGATGCTGAGCACCGACAGCACCTAAGCTGGAGGAGCCGCCTGAAGCACGGCTTCGGTCTGCAGCATACAGTCTACTGGCACCTGGACCGCTGCGTCCGGAAGTGCCGGCGTACTTGTCCATGACGGCTTGCTTGAAGACCTCGCGAGGCTTCGACAGAGGCAGCGTGGTGCGTTCCACAAGCTCGGGGTTGGATAGGTAAAAGATGGCCAGCTCACGTTGAGCGGTGGGAAGACCCTCCTTGGCCGTTATAGTCCACATCTTTCCTGCCTGCGCCAAGCTGTATGCTGTGGTGACAGGAGGAGGCGAGTCGGTATCCAGCCGCTCGGTACCGTGAAATTGTGTATCGTTTGTGGTTTTGCGAGTACTGGTGTAGACGCCTTGAACCTCGTCCGCTACCTCAATCATGGTACGACAGACCTCTTGCTTGAGGCCTAGCGCTGCAAGACCAGTATCCCAGAAGGCAGTGCCCTTCTCGGTGTTGTCCAGAATTGTTGGGTTGACAAAAGCTGCGATGAATTGCAGGTCACGGAAAAGCGTCTTGGGACGGATAGAAGAGTCGCGGAAGAGAGTTCGGAGGACATTGGTGATGGCGTCTTTGTTCGTCGCGCTGTTGGAGGCGACCGTCCGAGCATCAGAAGTGCCTGGTCTCATTTGGCCACCAACAGTTGGCGGGGAGTTAAGAGGGAACTGCTGGAGAGCATGGGACCGCCTCTCTCTGACATTGTCAATCACCTCCTCGAGAGGGTTGGAGCGACTGTTGACGGTAGACTCATCGGCAGCGGGTGACATGAACTCGGACCGGTTCCATCCAAGTCGGGACTTCTTGGAACCAGTGGCTAGAGAAGCGACAATGAGCTGCTCCAGCTCGTAAAGAGCGCCCAGTTTGGCGTGAGGGTTTGGGTGAACGCTGAACATGCGGAGGAGTCGTTGGAAGGCCTTCTTAAAGGGAAACTCGGGAGTCGATTCCTTGGCAGGCTGCTTGGAACGGGTGGAGATGGTCTCAGTGGTGGCTGCAGAGGTGTCGTTGCCTGGAGTGCTGCCTGTTTCCGTCGTCTCGGAGTTCTTGTCGGTTTCTCCGGCTCCTCGCAAGTTTCCAAAACTCTTCTTCTTCTCAATGACACGCAGCTTGCCTGACTTGCCCGTCCGGCGTGCTCGTCTGTCGAGCGAGTCGCGTCGATCAATGCACTCTTGGCCCAAAGTCGAAAACCAATCATCGGTCTCTGCGCCGCGAGCAAATACAAGCGTACCGAGATCAGAGAGGAGAAGGCTGACCAAAGTCTGGCGCAGCTCGTTGAGAAAACGGGCCTTCTCTTCGGAGAGTCGCTGTTGATGCACCGTCTCATTGGACGATGCCGAGGTGCCTGGTCGACCGATGGAGTGACTGGCGTGAGAGCCAAGGGAGTGTTGCTGGAAGGAGGCGGACAGATTTGTCACGCTTGTCGTGGGAGACTGGGCCCGAGACGTGGTAGAGCTCGGTGAGATGGCCGACTGGAAAGGTGACCAGAACGTAGAACTAGAGTCGATGGTGTGGACAGGCGAAGAAACGCCAAAGTAGTCCGGTCCATCGACGATGTCGGACAAGACGGTGCTTGCCCTTGAGAAACGGTAGCTGCCAGAGTCGAAGGACTGCTGACTAGAATTGTGAGCTGACATGGCTCGGAGATCCCGAACAGAGTTGGGACGACCAGTAGACATGAATCGTCGCTCGGGGTCGCTCATGACGCTAGCAGAATCGTCCCAGTTGTGTTCTCTGTCGCGGGGACCTTTGTTGTTGTTGGTCTCCAGGTTGCGCCTGTCGCGTTGGTAGAGCTCGCTCGACCAAAGGACTGGGCCGTCCATGATGGACTCTCCGATCAACTTGGAGATACAGGTGTCCACCTCGCAGGTAAACCTGTGAATCCTCTCTTCTCCGCAGCAAAAGTTCTCGACTCCAGCTTGTTGAAGCCAGCGTGATGTCTTGTCCGCTTGGTCGTCACTCAGCTTGTTGGGGCCACCCTGCTCTTCTGAAGCTGCAAGCAGGTCCATGATCTGAGTCTCAGTGCGGTACAGGTAGCTGGATGCGGGTGCTCGAGCCAGATGGGCACGGTTGCGTTGGTAGGAGTTGTAACGCCGGGGCATTCCCATCGTCTTGAGAGCTGCGCAAATGTTGCGACTCTGTTCGTAAGGCGCAGAGTTGCGGACGTCAGTGACGTACCACATCTTGTCACGAAGAGCACGCAATCTCTTCATCATGGCCTCAATAAGACCTTCGTGACGCTCTTGGCTCTGCTTCAACCAGACGAGCCACGCGTCGTACTCCTCGATGGCAGATGCGCAACGGCGGATGGAGTCTCTGGGGCCGCGAGAGAAGATGTTCAGAAGAATGGCAAAGCCGTTGCGCCTAAGAGACTCTGAACTGAGAGCATTGAGTTGCTGCAAGGTCTTCCAATAAAGGTGCGCTGAGACGAAATCTGCTTGGGCTCGTGACTGGGAGGATGCTGCGTTCAGCATGGCAACGAGGACGGAAGGCGGCTCAGTCTCGTGGCCTTCGGAAATTTCCGAGTCTTGCACAGACGCAGTATCCTTGGATTGTAAATCGCCTTGACTTGCTTGCGCTTCGACCTCGCGCCGGCGATAGGGATTCCTGCTGGGTGTGGACTTTTCAGCAGTGATAATCTTGTTCTTCGATCGGTACTTCTTGATGCCAGTGGCGCGGTTGCTGAATTGGGCCCGGCCCCCTTGGGGTTCAATGCTCTGGGGTATCTCATAGTCCTCAACGAGTTTCAGGATGGAGTCTCGGAGTTGATGGTAATCCTTGTCCAATTCAGGCTTGTCGTCAATCTCATCATCGTCAGTATCACTTGTTGAGGAGTTTTCCTCCTCTTCGACTTCCTCGTCTGGATCATAAGTCATCTGGCTGGACAAGCTGTTTCCATCCGCAGAGATGAACAAGACAGCCCAACGTTCGGCACACGGGTGGCAGGAGCCTTGGATGACATCCATTCCAACCTGAGAACTCATTTCCCGTAAAGCAAAGCGAAGGCGGTAGCCGTCGTCCTCGTAGTTGCTGAGTCGCCGTTGAGACAAAGGATCTAAAACAGGGGGCGAGTACCGTTGGGGTGAGCCGGTCCGTTGCTCCTCTATGTTGGTCTCTCGAGACGTCGTGGCATCGCTGAGAACCGACGACGCACTCGTGCTGAGAATGGAGGCTGTTTCAAAGTTTTGTCGACTGCCTGCCATGGAGATGGGCTGCGAGATTGCCGAGAAGCCAGAAATAGATGGTGCACCGGATCTCAGCCCGCTAGACTGAGACATGGGACGACGCTCAGGGAACAGGGCGTTCACCAGAGTGACCAAGTCAGCGGGGCTGACAACCAAGTAGGGGTGAACTTCAACAGTCTCGCGGAGGGAGGTAATGGAGCGAGCGGGAAGTAGCCGAGGCGGAGGCCTCTGAGAGCGAGATCGCTTGAAGCGGTTCAGGATACTCTCAACGTGCTCCTGAATCTTGGGTGGCGTAGAAACAGTTCCCTTCTTGTTCCAGGTGATTTCCACAACAAGCTGGGACGCCCTCATGGCAACCTGTTTAAGGATCTTCTGACGCCCGTACTCGGTAATGTGGTACTCGCCCATAAGGCCATGGCTCTCCGGGTGGATGACAACGCCAAGTAAAAAGCTTGAGAAGAGCCACTTGTATACAAACCAATTGCGAGTGCCTTCGACAAGCTTGCTGTCCAGCTTCCTCAGGATTGCGTTGCCCAACTCGATGAGGCCCTCGGGAATGCCTGTTGCGTCCTCGTCGTCAATGATTTCAAACAGCTCGTTAACGGCGCGGTCGTAAAATTCCTCGGCAGCGATACTGTCCTTGGAAGTCCAGTCTGCCAGGTTGAATCGGGTTCCATGCTGATCCTCGGCCTTGTCCAGAAGAAATGCGCCATCCTCAAGGATCTTCATCAAGTACCACTCCATGTTGGACTTTCCAGACCAGTCACGCATGGCCGTCCAGACATTGAGAACAGATATCAGCATAGGCTCGCTAGCAGACTTGGACTCCGTTATGAGCCGTGCCAGGGCCGTTCCCCAGATCTCGGTGCGCCTCCGGTCTTCGGCACTGTCAGGTCCAGCAGAGTTGGCGAAGCAGGTGTGTACTAAAGCCGATAGGGGATCGTGCCTCTGGAAGGAGAGCAGGCGCTCGATCGCAGTGGGCAGGTGGGCGGGCGTTCGGCTGCTAGATCCCATGTGGCCCCGGGTGTTAGAGCGGCCATGGTAAGGCAGCACAGATTCAACAGGCTCAAGTCCTTGGTGGAAACTAGTAAAAGCGTTCAATTCTGCGGGTGTTAGAGAACACAACCTCGTAGCCAAATAGTCTGGGTTTGTCCGGATCTGGGTCAGAAAGTTGAGAAATATTTCCCGAATAGATGCGGGCAGTTCAGATAGAAAAGGGGTCATAGAACCAAGAGAACTGGCACCCGACGTTGATTTGGGTGGGGTTTCCAGGCTTTCCGAGGAGGCCAAGGCCGGTGATTGCAGCGAGTCCAGCTCCGGCTCCAACAGTGCGTAACGACGCAACTCGTCGCAGCTTTTGCGCACATCGTGAATGGCGTTAAAGAGGGCAGAAAAGGTCTTTTTGTCATCGGAGCGGAAGCAATCGACCAAGTTCTTCCGGGCAATCTCACCACAGCGATTCAAACGGGCAGACAGTGCTGTAGAAATGAGGTTTCTCTGCAAACGAATCCTTGTGTTTGCGCGCTTGCGCTCCTGATACTTGGACAACCTCACCAGGTGGGCAAGTTCCTCCAAAGTTGTGGCATCGGGTTCGGGGGCCATGTGAGGGTTCGTGTACAAAGAGGGATCTGGGAGCAGGGCCTTGCGGACGGCTGGTGAAGCCGTCTTTTCGGCGACTGGCGAGGGCGTGTCCTCCTGGGAAGTCTCCATTGCGGCCTTAACAGGAGACGAAGCAGTGGGCGTCACAGCCTGGGCTATTACGGGTTTTTGGTGGGAGCCTCTTCGGGGGACGTCTTCGCTTCGGCGGACGGGCAGGGCTACAGCCTCGGGGGTTTGTGTGGGACTTGGAGATCGCTGCTGACGGCGGGATCTGAAGGAGGTATTGTAACTCTCGGAAGGAGGAGTCGGAGATCGCGGAGGGTTCGCGCCATCTTGTGAAGCAGCTGCGGCGGACAAGCAGCGTTGGTCAGCACGGGGGAGCACACAAGCAAGGAGCCGTGGTTAGGCGCCAGGGCAGGCGGGTGTGCGACGTACGAGCAGACACTATGCGGACGGGCGATGAAAGAGAACGCTGCATGGAAATCATAATGCAAACATTAGAAGAATCGGTGGGAAGACAGGCGGGCAGCTTCAGCTTGAGCAATAGCAGCAGCTGTGGCGCAACTCGGAAGCTGTGCTGTCGCGACCGTCTGATGCGGGATGTGCGCTGTTGGGGACGAAGCTCGTCCTCGTTGGTGGTGGTGGTGGATCTGAAGTCTGCTTCGGCGGGGCAGACTGGGCGGCAAGAGGGGAGGGGAAGAGATGGGGAGGCCGGCGCAATGCCAGTTCCTCGCGGATTCGGGCTCGGTCGAGTGTCGACGATCGAGGTCGGGAAGCAAAGATGCTTGGTGTTTTGAGAGGTTCCTGAAAGAAGGAAAACAAATACGCCGTGGTAGCAAGAGCGGAAGGTCTGGTCGCGGCTTGTGTTTAAGGTATTCGGGAGGAAGGGACGGGACAAGAAGGACAAGGGTCGCAAGGCGAGAGAGAAGTGGGAGGCACAGCACGGTCAGGAAAGGCAAGGAACGGGCAACGGCAACAGCAAGGGGTGGCTTGGTTCCATTTGGGTTGGTCTGGAGGGAAGGTACCGCGGTACGTCACGCTGGTCAGGTACCAGGCGGTTGAGGCAGACCGGGTACAAGGAAGCGACCTGGCGACGTGCAGGAGGAGACGTGGAGCAGGAACGAACGACAGCAACAGCGACGACGACAACAGCGACGACGACAACAGCAACGGCAACAGCAACACCACGCTACGCTACGGGAAAGAGCAGGGAGCCCACGCTGAGGTGAGAGGCGAGAAGTGGGCAGCTGCACCACACCTGGTCAGTGCCGGCGCCAGCTGGACTGCAAGGGAACAGCTCACCACCGCCCTCCCCTTCCCCCTCCACCGTCTCCACGCCCGACTCGCTGGACACCGGTATTTTGGTCAAGGACCGTCGGGTCAACAGGGGCCAACCTGATGGGGCCGCTCCCCGGAACCAGGACCGACCGGGCACGAGGAGGCCAGCGGTTAAGCATGGAAGGGACCTCGCTGTGAGGAAAAGGCCGCGGCCTCGGAGGCAGGAGCCATGGAGAAGCCAGAAGCCAGCGCAGAGGGAACTTTGCGCAGTACCTTACCTACGGTAGTTCCAGATGGTTCCTTCCATTTCCCAAAACCGATGTGGAGGGATAGACCATGGCACTGCTGCGAACTGCTGGCGGATCCTTGACTTGCCTTACTTGCCTCTGGTTATATGGAGGGAAGGCATGGATGACCACTCGCAGCTGCACAGAGTGAGGAATATTTCAAGGCAGGTACACACACACACACATAATCACGACGCGAGGCAGGAGGTACAGACGAAATACACCGCGCCTCTTTCCCAGGTACCTGACCTGGGTTGATCTCTCTCAGGGCAGGCGCGCATTTCCCGCCCCATGAAGAAGGAACGTCTGTGGAAGCTTACCTCAGGCGAGGCGAGGAGAGGAGGCAGGAAGGCGGCGTGGGGTAAGGGCTGGACGAGTGATGGAGGGCACCGAGGGGAAGGAGGGAAACGGGCCTAGACCAAACACAGCTAGCAGCAACGGACAGAGCGCGCCTCTCCCACCTGCCACTTCACACTTCGCACACAAAACCCGCGAAATGGAGGAAGAGCAAGAAGAAGCAGGCGCTGCAGGGCAGGTGCAGCTGCACCAACCCAACCCAACACCTGCGGGTGAGGTGGGAACAGAGATTGGACGAAAACGGTCGCCGCCAACGCCAGCGCCAACGCACACCCGCACTAGAAGGAAAGGAGGAAGACAAGAAAAAAAAAGAAGAATCACAGCAGAGGAAAGACACAATGGCCAACGCTCAAATTCCCATTCAACAAATCGAATCCCCGTCCTGGTCGGCAGCCACCACCACCGCCGCCGCCGTTATCACAATCACTAATCAGAACCAACACCAGCATCAGCATCAGCACCATCAAACCGTCGACACCACAAGAGAGACATTGAGGTTTTTGCTTTTGTTTTGCTTCTGTCTCGACGAGCGCTACCATGGATCATGGACTATCGTGGGTACTCAGACCCGACCGACCCAGAGCAGCCGGGGCCAACCACAGCGACCGCATGACATTTCTTTTTATTGAATTCGCCATCGTCATCTCCTCTGCTTAAGCTGTCCCTGTCTCACCCCAAAGACAACGCAGACAGGCCCGAATGGACAGGGAGCTGCCTGAATTGGGGTCTGCTGCAGAGTACTTCACCACCTCATCCTTCTTCAACCGGACAACTACCGTCGTCGCCGCCTTGTCAAGTTGTCGCTTGTCGCTTGTCGTACGCTCCACGACAGCAGCAGTCACTTGAGGTGCCTCCCGTCCGTTGCCTCGGTGCCTCCTCGCCGTCGCGTCTCACTGCCCGTCGGCTGTCCTGTCGTGCAAGGTCGGACACGCCTGTCGCTGCACCGATTCAGATACGTACTCGTCAATTATTCGCCAGCGCCACTGGCCATGCAGCAGATGACTGCTGCCCTGCGAGATGGCCAGCTGTACCCGCCTGGAACCGGAGGCACACATACAGCTGCACAAATGCAGTATTTCTTTCGGCCCCGGGGGGAGAGCCAGACGAGAGAGAGGCAGAGGCAGAGGCGGTCTGCAGCAACAGCGAATGCATTTCCGTATCTCGGGGCCCAGAGAAGGGATGCATGCGGTACGGAGTACACATCTCCATTGATGCACCTGTGAGGATACAGACAGAGAGTACCGTACAGCCCCTCGGCCGCTCCATGCCATGCCATGCCATGCTAGCCGTCCACTTCGTCGTGTGTCTCTCAACAAGTCGGACAAATCAAGCTTCACCGACGGACGATACGAATACCGCGGTACATGCAACGACAGCGAACAACTGACAGGGCAGGTAGCGGTCCAGCCGACGCGCATCAGTCAAAAATTACCTCTGCTTCTGGCCGCTGGATGAGTTGGCATGCATAGCCTTTGGCCCTCTTGTTTTACATGCTCGGCCACCCTGCTTGCCTGTCTGCGTCCTCTCCTCCAGACCAGACCCCAAGAGACCTCCAGCACCCACGACCACCAACCAACCGCACCGCACTGAGGGCTGCCCTGGTCGCCCGCTATCCAATCTGCGTCCTCCACGAGGCTGGCACGCCATGCCAACGCATCACAGGGCCCAATCAACCCCAGCCAGCCCAACCAGCATCAACCCACACCACCCGCTTCACCACCACCCTCGACAACCTCGACACCACTTCCCATCGCTGCAGCCAATCGCCCACTACCGAGCCGCTCTCCTGCCACCGTCCTGCACCTGCGACCTCGTCGCCGCCGCCGCACCAAAGGCCTGTTCAAATGCTGACCGGGGGGCTATCGACAGACCGACTGGTGAACCTCACGCATCCATCCGACTTCCTGAACGCCGGACTGCACCACGAGAGGTCAATTGCAAAGGCCAAGTTTCGGTCAAGTTCTTCAGCGCTGACTTCGCCTTCGTCGACACGCACTCACCGTTGATAGATATCCCTCTTACTTTGCCACATGACCGAGGTATTATCTCGGCCAGCTAGGGGCAGGTATCTGCGCGATGCACGATAATTGGAGACGACAACGTCGCACATGACAAGAGGCCTCTCCAGCAGCAAACGCCACGCACTGGGCTCGCATTCACGGCGCGACGTCCTCTTGATGCAACATTTATCCCGCCCATTTCCACCCCGTCTTCCATGTCGCGTCTGGTGTGGGAGACCCGGCCTCTAAATTGGCCTCTACCACGCTGCTGGAAAGATCCAGCCACTTGCGCCGCCCGAGTGGTATCACGATGATTTCGTGCCACAACCGCCCGCCATCCCCTTGAAGAGTCCAGTCACGGTACCAGAATACCCTTCCATCCCGCTTCTGGCCGCCGACAGATCGCTCGTTTCATGCACGTCAGATTCGCCAGTCGACCACCTTCGTTCATCCGAAACCAAATTCCCCATTCGCCAAGTCGCCCCTTGTCCTTCCTGCGTCCTCCCGTCCCCGGCCACCCTATCGCGCCCAAGATGATGCGGGTCTTGCGAGTATTTTGAGGCCCCTTTTCTTGTTTATCTCGCATACGCTGTCCTCGTGAGGTTGTTCCTGCCCCCTCAACTCGCCCTTGCCCAAGGCATTGACCGGACCTGGATTACCGCCAGCTCAAGCAACCCAATGAGTGGATGCGGCCCCAGCCGTATCAAGATCTGGTCATTCCACACCGCGATTTTCTCGTGGGAGCAGCCGTTCCGGGTTCTTGACGAGTACCGAGTTGCATCAGCACGTGGAGGCGTTGTGTCTTGGAACCAACCAATTAGTCGCCCAGCGACAACACGACGGGCCCGTCAGCCGACACATGACCTCTTGACGCAATCCTTCCCAATCCCCATTAACACCGCGTTCTTAATGGGCCATTGAGGTTAGGGCTGCATATGCCATCGCTGGGTAATCTGCACTCCCGGCGCTAGTCCACAGGCATCCGCCTAGTAATTGGCCCCATCGACGTTTCTGTCGTGTCACTCATGTTGTTGTCAGGGTTTCGGCGCGAGTTGCTGGGGGGCTATGTAAACATTGATCTGCGCGAACCTGGTTGATTCGTCCGTTTGACTTCATGCCAGGTGTTCCAGAAGCGTTCTTGATCGGATTGCTCGGCGGTTTCCGCACACTCGCAAGAGCCAAGGATAATGCAACTCATCGGCCGTTGGGTTTCCCTCTGTTAGCCGCGGTCTCCTGTCCCAGGCATGATCGACTATGATGTTGAAAGCCTTGGCAGTAAATGATTTGGGAAAGTGTCTCCAGATGAGTCTCCGCACACTGCCAGCCTTCGCAAGTTCATCTGAGTGCTCCTCTTCAGAGGGTCAGGGGCTATATTGACTAACACCGGTATATCCCGAAGCCTCCCCAAGCTTTATGGACATGAACATGGCTGAGTATGGGTGGCTTTGGAGCCCCACAAGCGTTCATATGTTGCCAGATTCTGGTTGTGTCATTTGCCAACTCCTAGCAATCGCTGATGCCTTGGATCCATGGTGAATCGTAGTGCCCATTGCTCATAGACCAAT